GTTAAAAAGGTTTGTCAGTCTCCTACAGAAATAAAAAACATGCATGCTCTCTCACAAGTCTTCCTTATTTACTTGGGTGAGTTCCAATATTAATTCAAATTTTCCAAATCACCTATGCTTTATCATATTTCTCTATCTATTTTCCTAGGATATAGAAATATTTTCCTACAGATACAGAAATATGATAAAAGTATATTTAGTTACAAAATATATACACTTTTTGGAACTGCTCATTTATGGACATAGCTTACATAAAAAGGACACCAAAATTTTTTAAGATATGTTGCTACTTCTATTTATTCATACCAACAAAGCATCACTGTTCATCGGAAAGCAGTAACAGCAAAACTCAATATTTGTGCTATTTGATGCCAGTCTGGAGAGACTCCACCCAAGTCAGAATTACTTGGAATGTACGCACAGAGAAGACAAAGTAGAATCCCACAGGTAAAATTTTTGTGGTCCAAAACCACATGATCTTTTTTATTGACTGAGGCCATTTGCTGGAAAACACTAAAACGAGTTATAAAAACTAAATTGATCCTTTTTACATATAGCCTTTGAACTACATGGCTTTAAAGTTATCGGTATGGAAAATATAATTTAAGAAATAAAGCATTTTGCAATACAATTTTAAAACTAGTTATTTTGTTTTTTTCATGGGGGAGGATATTGCTAACAGTAACAGATACAAAACCAAACAGTAGGCATATTAATAAAGAGAAACTGTTACCTGAAGAACAAAAATAAAGTCAGTAACCCCTCTGTACTATGGGATAACTGATCCTTTTAACACTGAATATTGTTATTGAAATTGGCAGCCTGTTAATCTACAGTGACTTACACTCCAAAGACCACACCTCCATAAGAGAAGTCTCCTTGCTAGAGTTCCATACAGAATCACAGTCCACAAAACCTCCAGAGGTCCCTTTCTGCCTGAATTAACCCTGCTTTCAGCAGGATATTGAATGAGAAAACTTTTGAGGTTACATCAGGCTGCTGAGGGAGTTGTCTGGATGAGTTCTGTGTATCTCCAGGGATGGAGATTATACAGTCTGTCAGGAAAATCTGTTCCAGTGTTTGGCTAACCTCATGGGAAAGAGTATTTTCCTTGCATCTCATCAAAATTTCATTTATTGCTGCTTGTGTCCACTGTCTCAAGGAGAACCTGGTACCATCTTCTCTATAACCACCCAGGAGGTACCTGAAGAGAGCAACTAGATCCCCTGCTAGCTCTCTCTTCTTCAGGCTGAGCAAACCCACTTCTCAGCCTCTCCTCATAATCTGTGTGCTCCAGCCCCCTTACTATCTTCGTGGCTCTCTGCTAAACTCTCACCAGTTTAGCACTGTCTTTCTGGTACTCCAGTGTGTCCATAACTGGACGTGGTACACCAAATGTGGTTTCACAAATACCAAATGTGAAGCAAGAATCTCTTCCCTTCACTTTGCAGGCTCCACGCTTTAAGAAGCAGTGCTTATTTACAGTTACAGGTTTGAAAAGGTCACTATTAACCTTACAAAAGAAAATAACCCAAGCTTATTTTCTAATGATATGCTGACTTGCTCAGTTTATTGCTTACTTTATCAATTCCAGGCACAAGCCTACAGATGACTTCCACCTTCTCTGGCTGGAGTCCCACTTCTTCTTTAGCTTCTCGGAGAGCAGTATCAATTTCATCTTTATCAATTGCTTCACTTTTTCCTCCTGGAAAACACACTTGCCCTGGTGACCTTCTCAGCTAGAATTTAAAGCAGTACTACTGTTAAAACATAACAAGTTTTACATTTCTTCCTGGATCCACACAGACGCTTGTTCATATTGCAGTATCACTTTATGTTTGATTTATCTTTCCAGTCAAAGAAGCTGGAAATGGCGCTAAGAGGTTTCTGCAGGTCAGAAGAAACATGCCTTATCAAGAGCTACACAAGAAAAAGTTGGGCCTATACCCAACTAATCTATAAACACTATCAGAAATACATACATCACTTGTACAGTACTGTGTAATTCATACCATACATCCTGCTTTAATACTTCATAATTTATATTATTTTTCATCATCTTGCTTGCATAAGGGATTGATGGATGAATCTAGAACAACAACTAGAACAGTGAGATTAAAACACTCAAGGTAAGAGCAAGAACTTCTGAAATACACATTTAAATAATGTACCTTTAAGTACGTTATAGTAATAGGCTTGCGCATCAAAGATCAGAAAAAGCCCATTTACAATCAGTTTATCAGCTAGGTAACTGTAATTATTAGGGCCTTAAAATTTCTAAGCAAGACCCCCAAAACCTTCCATTTTGCAGCAACAGAAAAACAGACAAGTAAATAATCTCTGAATACAGGCGGATGATCAGGCTGGGGGTGGGGTGGAAAACAAAGAGTTGTAGAAGAAAACAAAATGCTGGCAGAAGATTTCTGGGGTACTTAGGTTGTTGCCTTTCCTTTCATAGATGAAAGAGAGAGAAGAGTAACATTAAATGCAGATTCAAAAGTCACTTTAATAAAAGCTGCACCGCATTGTCAGTTTTCTTAAGTCATAGTAAGCAATCAAAATGTCCTTTTCTGATCTGGAAGTCATCTTTCACTGTCACAGGTTTCTGGGTATCCAGCGTTTTTCTGGCACGCAAGTCCTAGACTCGTCATAGGCGTGTAAAAACACCCGCTCGTACCCTTCGGCCCGCCGCCTGGACTGAAGTTTGGAAAGCAGGCTCTAGAAGACGTGGTAAGGATGGGACCTGCGCAAGCCCCCGAGGGAGAAGCCGGCGAGGATGTGGCCGTACGCCATCCCGCCGAGGCTTCCCTCCCTGCCGCCCCCCCGAGAGCCCGGCTCCGCGCACGGCGGGCCCCGGCCCCCGCTCACCCACCTGCATCGACCTGAGCGTCAGCAGCAAGTGCAGCTTCCCCTCCCTCACCATCAGCGGCAGGAGGACGGAGGCTTTGGGCAGCGGCAAGTGGGAGAACCTGTCTCCGACATCGAACTCCCTCAAGCGGAGCCTGGCTTTCTCTTTTATGCTCTCTCTAGAAGCAAACAGAGAGGAGCGCCGTCACACCCCCAGGCTGTACCCCGGCACCCCGCGGGCAACGGGGACGTGTTTCTCCACAGAGAGGAACCTTAACGGCCGCCCGGCCGCTGACACACCGCTCACCGCCTCCCCCTCCGCCCGGGCCTGCTGCCGGCGGACCCGGGCAGGGCTCGGCGGCGGCTGTCCGCCCCCGGCCGACAGGGGACCGCTGTAGACGCTCCCCCCCGCCCCGGCCTCCCGCAAGGCCCAGGAAGGGCTCTCCTCTCTCCTGCCTTCCTTGCCGGGCTTTCCCCGCAGCCGGCGGGGCGAGCGGGGGCTGCGGACGCCGCTGCGGGCGGAGGCATCGCCCACGGGCAGCGGAAGAAGGGCCAGGGACGACGGCTACCTTCCCGGCCCGTCCTCCCGCTCGGCGGCCGCCATCTTTGACACCCCTGACCCGAGAGCAGACTTTCCCAGTCCCCGTCACCTTCCCCCCCCCCACACGCCCCGCCCCGCCCCGTGACCGACGGCCAGTCCCTCCAATCAACACGCGAGATCGCCGGGCTCCGCCGTCTGATTGGCGATGGGCAGGCCACGCGAGGGGGCCCTCACGGGACGGCTGCGCGCGATTTTCCCGCTGCCGCCGGGGAGCGTGAGGCGCCCCGAGGCGGTGGCTGAGGCGACGGCTCTGAGGGCACCGCCGCCGGGGTCCCTTCCCAGGGCCGGCGAGCAGTCGGCGACAGCTTCCCCGGCCTAGGTTTACCCGGAGAACGGCGGCGTTAGCTGCCAGCAGTCCTCGCTCCAGCTGGGAAGAGCAGAAACCCACGGAGCCGTTTGGCGTCGCGCCCCGCCGAGCGGCGTCCGTGGCCCGCCCTCAGAGGGGCGAGGGAGGCGGGTGATGCGGGGCTGCCGTAAGAGCCGTTCCCGTTGCTTTAGGTAAGGGTCCACTCCTACAGGCGCTAGCATCGCTTTAAGGGGCGGCCAGCATGGCAGAGCACAGGCTCCAGCTATCGGGGGCTCCGGAAAGCAGCGTTGCACCCCTGTCAAAGCCTAGTCACCTGTAGCACGGGACTCTCAAAAGCTGAAGGACATCAACAGACCTTCTTGGAACACAGACGCCTAGCTCAGTACTCTTAATTCACAGTGAGGAAAAAACAAAACAAAACCAAACCCGAATGTCTCAAGAGTTTGTTTAATCATTTAGTCCAGGTAGGAAACAGTGAGGTGTCAGAGACTGCCTCAAGCTTGGCGCAGTTTCTGGGCGGTAAAATTTAGCTTCCAGTTCTCATTAGGGACACACAAGTAGCAGAAACAATTTCCCACTATAGTGGTTTATCATCCAGTCTTAACAGCTACTAATGAGCGTTAACTTGTATTCAGAGTAACACCATAATGGTACAATCAACACGTGATCCCTCAAAAAACAAGACGCAACACCCCACATTACATGGAATGTATAAGAACTAATCTCACTGTAATTACCTTAATGTGTACTTTTTTTCCTTGCATTAAGCGAAAGAACCAAATGTGTTTTCCATGTGGTATGTGCTTTGTAGAGTTGACTTAACCTCAAGCCCTTAAATGCTTATTCATCCTATTTGTTACATAAAGTACTGGTGTATATATTTACACACACAAGCTCACATGTAAAAATAAGTGCAGTTTATATACAATATGCATAATGTGTTACTTCATGTAGTAAATTAAAACCCAAGCATAATTACATACACATGTACAGGTCCCAGCTGCCTTCCAGCAGAATATAATATCCATTTTATGGCCAGAGTTCTGTTCAAGTTTTAGTGAAACCTGAACAGAACTCATTCACCTTTAAGCTGTTTTACATAATTGCTATAGGAAAAAATTATATAGAGTAGTATCTTCAGGAAATGTAGTTCTCCAGTGAAAAGAGCACAACTAGTAGATTACTTATTATTCATCCACACAGCTGTACGTGCCACTGAACTATTGTTGCAGAAGACTGATGTTATCAGATCCTATATTTCTCTTTGGCTTTCTCTTTCAGAATGCAGATGTGCTAAAAAAATAAAAGTACAACATTAGTCAATCTGTGCCTTCAAAGAAAATGCAAGAATGATTTTCAGTTGTATTCCTGGCATTGTAAGGAAAACACACCAGAACAGTAATCTTTGTGAGTTTGGTTGCAAGTTTACTATTTGCAGTAAAATTGAGATGTTAATATTGCTTCCAAGCTCATCTGTAATTTATACATTTGTATATTCTGAAGAGGTCAGGTTTGTTCAATTGTTGTATCCTTTTCATATTGCTTTGCAATAGCATAGATCCATTATATGTCTTTTAACAGAACTGGTTTGTCTTATTAAAAAGACTTTGAAGTGGAAAACTTTTCCACTTAACCAGATTTAGGAAAGTACTTTTGAAAACTCAGGAGGGAAAAAAAGATCAGCTCTTTCTATCAGTTACACTCTTTCCAAGTCTATTACTCAGTTCAGCCTAAGGACACTGCAATGGAATAAAGAAAAAGAGATCTTGATGGACATGTTACTCAGTGTAGGAAAAACCTTCACACACAGTCCACACACAGCCATCTTAAAGACTTGGCTAGAAGAGAGCAACATAGGATTTCACTAAGACAGACAAACATAAATTAAAGCCAAATTACAAGTTACTTTCTTTTCAGATGGGGCCAGCAGATTGTATGCTGCCAGCCATCCTGGAGGATTCAAAATATCTTACAACACAGCTGGGCTTGTGGAGTAGATTCATAAAAAGGTGAGGCATAAACAAGGTCTTACACATTTACATTGAATTATCAGCTTGGCACATTAATAATGTTTTTGCCCTTTTAATGGAAGTTTCTAGTCAGATTTGAAGTTTTGTTAATTGTTGAGAAGCTCCTAGTATAAGCTAATATTCTTGCTGTTTACCTGTGGTAACAGTCATATATGTAACAGTCGAGGCACACATGTATGTACTTACATTTAGATCTCTGAAGTATTCATTATAATCAAGAGCATATCCAACAACAAATTTATCTGGAATTTCAAAACCTATATCTGTAAGAAAATACAATTCTTTTTATACTTGGGTGGTGTAAATAGCTTTTAGGTACACAGTTTATATTCAATGCATGCTTCAGCTATTTAAGTGTAATACCTAACAAATACATCATCTTGCTTTCAAGGTACTTAGCATGCTTCTTTAAGAATCAGAGCTGTAAATTGATGACAAAGGTTAGAATCTATACTATCCCCATCAGTTAGTAATACAATTAAAATGTTAAGAGAATGCATTTTAAGAACAAAATAATTATTTAAAACCTACTTAGGAAGGAGTTCTGGGAGAGGGAGACAAGGAGTGAGATTTTACAGAAGTGTAATAGTAGATGCACTGCAACTCAGTAGGGATTTTCAGTTTGAAAACAAGGCAAGTTTAATGCAGACTCAAAACAAATGCCTTTTAGGGTCAAAGCCAAACAATACAAAGTTAAGGTTGATTCTGTTTCTGGTATCTGCTAACAAATCACCAAACCTGCACTCAGACCAGCTGGGGGGGGGGGGGGAAAGGCATCGTGAGGTTTCAGCATGGGACAGGCTGGTTGTCAGTTTAAAAATTTTTTTTTTCTCCCCATTTCTCTTGGCCTTCCTGAAACTTATATGCTAGTTGTTAGACTTACTCCATGAAGTGAAATTATGAGATCGTATTTTGGACAACCAGAAAAACGCAGTACTTACAGTCTGGTCTGTAACCTGGACTTTGATGTGTCCTTTTAATGAGCAGGCTATAAGGCAGAGCAGAGGTGGTTATGTTTTTTAGAATATGTCTTGCTCTAAGCTGTATACTTCACTTCTCCTGCCACTCCCCATAAGCTTCTACAATCATGCAGTTAAATTAAAACAATGAGATTATTGTAACAGAAAGAAGTAGCCTTATAATTGAGGAAGAAGCGAACGCTCTGATCTAGGTTCATTCTGAAGGTCCAAATGACTCTGTTGTTTTACATTTAGTTCTCTTCAATTCTGTATCCCAAATCATTATCTTTTCATGTAGCAATGTATCAGCACACTAGAATAGCACAGACAGGTAAGCAAGTTCAAGTGGCATGTAAAGATTTTAGCAGGGAGGGAGAGAGAAGAGCACAAGCTGGGCAACACCACTACGATTTCTTCCACAAAACTCATATCCATTCTTGCTTTTCTTGTGTGCTTCTGAAGAAACTGAGAACTTCCTGGACAGTCACTAGGAGGAGCATAGCTGGTACATAAAACAAGAATTGTTCTTTCAAAGCATCGTGATTACTTGACAGAGACAGGGATATTAAAAAAAATTCCTTTGAGAGATCATCTAAAAGCAGATCTAGAATGCTACTTGAAGTCATCTTGCAAGTGCTGACAAACTCTTACTCTGAAAACGTGTATGACTGAGGATATTAAAAATTCTGAGTGTTGTCATTCTAGTATTGAGGCAACTGAGAAGGTGTTATGAAACCTATGGAAAGAGCTGAATTTCCTTCAAACATAAGGAGGTAAGAAAAAGGGAATCCATCAGTCTTTATGGACTATGCAAAAAGAGCCAGGAAACCTTTTTTATTCACTTTAACAATGAAGGTGGTAGTGCATATGTAAAGTTCCCAGTTTAATAAATACTTAGTTTTTCACCAGCTGGATAAGGATTGCTTCCTGCTTTTACTTCCTCTTCCTCCAAACTTCAAACAAAAACAAACAGACACCCACCAGCATACACTGGCTATTCACCTAAATGATTTTTTTGTATCTTCTCATAACAATACATTAGTAAATGGCCATATCATTATACCTTACAACTTTTACCATCTTTGGTTCGTTGTCTTTTAGTTTTGAAAGTAGCGCTTTCATTGTTCTACCAGTCTCAATAATGTCCTGAAAGAGATAAAAAAAAATCTTATCCTCCAAGTCTGAAAGAAAAAACCCCCAGACTTTCAGTGGATTAATTTAAAGCATAAAAACCAGTCAGCAACCGTGGCAGCACAGTAACATAATTAATTGTTTTGTATGCAAAAGGTATTAACTTGCAAAATCGGGAGAAAAAAGTCCATGTTTTTCCCTCCCCCCACACTCCAATCTTTACTTACCTCTACTACTAACACATTCTGGAAAAGATCATGTAGGGAGAGAAAGAAAAGAAAATATTTACATGGCAACATTCAGTGAATTATACAGCCAGGAAAAGTTTGCACTACAAGCTTCAGTTACAGGTAAATTGCAATTGATTTTCAAAGGAGCTTGTCACTTAACTGGTTACATTATTTTAGTGCCTTCTGAAGAGTCTTTCTGTAAGTATTTAGGGAAGCATAAAATACTGTGAGAAAGCCACCTATGTCACGTTTTATATATTATTCTATGTATAGTGATAGCATTCTAGAACCATACTGCATGAGGCAGTTTAAGATAGTTCACTTCTGGGGGCTGTGCGATAAAATGTAGAATAGGATCTTTAGAAGCATTCAGTACTGATCCCATTAGGTTTCCACCGGGATCAGTGGAAATCACTCACTGTTTCAAAGCATGGCATTTTAAACCAGAGTTAAGTGACTGTAAATACGTAGTATCAAAAGCTTTATTAAGATGGACTTCCTGGAAGATACACAAGAACTGTTCTTGCCTCTTAAAAGCTGAAGATGCTAATTCATACCTTCCCACTTAGCGTAGACAGTTCCTCACCAACAATACTGATTTCTTCTGTAGGTGAATCATTCTAGAAGGAGAAAGAAGAGAGGGAAGTCACATAAAACATGCTCAAAATTGTTACCTTGTATGTGTACGAACTGTGCTGCTCTTGCTTTTTGCCTATCAAATGACACTTGCAACTTAAAAGCTGTTTTACTGAAGGAGTGCTGTGTAAAGTAGCTGAGAGCAAGAGGAGAGAGTGAAGTGTCAGTGCAGACAGATGTTTGCATGGAACAAGAGTACATCCATATTCATGGAACAGATACCATTGCTTTCAGCTATTTTTGTTACCCCAGATTGGTTTTAGAATTCCATGAAAAATTTATAGAGTATTGTAAACTGTTGTATTTAGCATGGGGTAAATTTTGATCAGTGCACAGAGCTGTAGCCTTCAAAGAGGGGAGAAGATAAACCAGAAAAAAATAGCATAAGTCACTGGTTTACAGTAATTGGCTTGGAACAACTACGATTGGTTCAGGCAAAAGTTACCTGTTCCCCAACACACAGATTATGAAAACAAGTCTCTCCATTACTATCTATACAGAATAAAAAAATAATGCAGAGAAAGACAATAAGCAAGTCTGTGATGCTAAGCTCGTCCCCATACTCCCTCCCACCAAAGGGTGCCATGGTAAAGACAGAGTAGAACCTGTATGGAAGCTTTAGGCTGGAGAGGAGGACATAGGAGACCTGACCCGGGCTTTGTTGTGTTAAGTGTTCTGCTATAGGTTCATTCCAGTGAATATACAATATCTATCTGATTGTTGGGGCAGATTGGTAAGTCAGTTGCTTTTCAGTGTGTAATAAATTGAATTGCTTTGAACAGGATATATGCATAAACTCAATTTTTGTGGAGTTTTCATATAAACTACCAGTATTCAGAATGTCAATCTATGGGGAGAGTTCATTTTCCAAAGAACAGAGAGTTGCTTACACAGTAGCTTTTTATTCTAACAAAATCCACAGTAATAGGCACAGATTTATCACCATTTTGATTCAGTGCTTTTATACGGTCCAGCAAATCAGCAAAGAACTTATAGCCTCCTTTAAGGACACAGAGAGCAACAATGTGATGGCTTCCCATATCTTGCATGATATCTCTAGCCAAACGTTCTGTCCTGGAAGGAAAACAAACAAACAAATCCTTTAAATTGTTTTGTATATAATATTTGTTTGTCCATATGTTAAATTTTGATCTTGCTGTTAGGTTTTTGTAAACAGTAAATTGTGACCACATTAAGACACAGGAAAGTTAGTTACATATTTGCAGTTCGCAAGATGGTGCCTACTCCACTTGACATACTGTTGATTTAATCTATATATCTAAACAAGACAGGATAGGAAAGTTTAAAGATATTTGAGATAACATGGAAACTTAACTGGCATTGTAGAAGACTCCTCTCTGTAAAACTTCTTTTCTATTAAACTCCGGAACACAAGTGTTACAGCTGCAGGGTTTCCATGTTTCTCATGGGCTATGCAGGGTAGGGCCTCAGTCTTTTCGTTTGGAGGGAAATGCATCATTGGCATCATTGTCACTACTCTTTGTTGTTTACCCTCATACCTGTCCAGGATGAGTCCATGAGGAATGAAGACTCTTTCTAAATCTTCTTCGTAATGCTTAGGAATGCAAAATAGATTTTTGTTATAGCCACTTTCTTCATCTCTTATCTGCAAATGAAAGGGAAATAGCTCTAAGAGTAAAAACAGAACCATACCTTCCAGTCTCTGATAATGTGGAGAAAGACTCCTCTGCCCACACACCCCTCAATAACGTGTCAAAATAAAAATATATCTGAAAGTTTTTGAACTTTTTTGATAGAACAATACAGTTTACAATCTGTCTGATAATTCAGGAGCTAGTGTGCTTGTCTGAGATGTGAATGGATAGATAACTACTTTGCCCCAGTCATTATAAAAGAAATTCCCAACCATCATCAACTCATGAAAAACCCAAAAGAACAAAAATCCTCTTGTATTCTCCATTCCCCCTTCTGCAGAGCACAGTAGCTTGTTCATGTGGTAGACAAGCAAAAATTAAAATTTAAGGCAAGTAGATTGGGATTACAGCTTGATCTCCAGTCAGCAGGTGACTTTAGGATGCTGCACTGCATTGACCATCATTTTCCATTGTGTAGAAGAGAAAATTCTGTCTCCTAAGTGTGAATTCACAACTGAATTTTTGACAAGAGCTAAGCACATACCAACCATCAGCTGTCTCAGAGGACAGGAGAGATGACTTACCCCAAAGGAGAAGCTTTGAGATGGTAGTGGGAAGAGAAGTGCCCATAGGGGGGAACCAGAGACCTGCTGTGCTGCAGTTCAGCTCGTTGTACTGTTTGCCCTGCTAGCAGGTTGCTCCTCAGCATGGTTGGGGAGAGGCCATAGCTACTTCCCACAGATCAGGGCCTTAATCCTTTTGCCACCAGGGTTTAGGATTACAGTTCTCTCTTCAATATGCTGGCTCCAGGCTGTTGCACCCAGAGGTGTCTGGATGCCTAGAAGTTCTCCATTTGGGCTTCTCTTCTGACTAGTCTTTTGGCCCCAAACAGATTGTGGTTTTGGATTCTACCACCCTTCAAGACCATAATGGATGCTTTGGTCTTTGTTCATTTATGAAGTGGTGGTACAAAAGCAGGCAAGAAAGAAATATAATGACGTAGAAACAATTGGGAATAAGAGGGCTAATATGTAAGTATTAGAAATAAGTTAAGAAAAAACTCGAATTAGTGAGATTGTCACATATAGTATTGCCCTGTTATTGTTAAAAAATTACAGAACTAATTGAAAGAAAAACACAAAGCTGGCTCAGAGCTTCACTAGTGCAAAACAGGTTAACTACACACCAGTTGCATTCAACAGAGCTCAGTACAGTGGCTTGCTAATAGACAGCACAGAGCTATGAACTAGGCAGTAACAGCATAAAGTATTGCTAACAAACAAGTTGACACCTGCAAACTCTTTAGGCAGATGAATTGTTTTTAATTCTCCTTTTTTGGCATAGGAGAAGTGAGTGCTTAGGAAGAAATGAAAAATGGACTGTAGGGAACAGGAGTAGGTTATTACTTGTAAAACTCACAGCAGCCACAAAAATGAGATAACCAATTACTGCTGTTTATTTTAAATTGGCCACGAAAGCCTACTTCATTTAAAGTTAAAACTAGAGAGACAGGTGTGAACAAGAATTTCAAAGAACAGATTATCATAGTACAAGGCAATGCATATAGAGTCTCATCCTGGCTGAACTAACTGTACTCTGCAAGTACTCAAAATTGATAGGCCTTAATGCTCCAAGTTAGACTCACAGTATAGTCTTGCAGTTGAGCACTGTTTGGAGTGTCAGGAGTACTATTTTGCCTGGTTTAGTTACTATTTTCTTCATGGCTGAAGTCAGCAAAGTGAAAGCTTAGGTGAAGGATTGTTTTTAAATTAAGTTTGTTTGTGCTTTATTAATCTTGGAAGAGATACTGGCAGTTACACTGGTATCAGCTGTAGATCAGGCTAGACACTAGCATCTATGAGCAGGCTTTAATGCAGTGCAGAACTGCTTATTGTTGTTTGTGTGTTATATTAACCCAGTTGGCCAGTTTGAAATGGGCTAATTTCTGCCTGTCTGAGGTTGCTAGTGGTGACAGACAAAATACACACACAGGATATGGGATTCTGTCAACAAGAAGCAGTGATGATAGGACCTAATTATAAGCATTGGCCAAAGTTAAAAGACAGTTTGAGACTACTGGAACACACAAACAATCATTTTCATTTGGAGTACAGAAAAAGCACCTTTAAGTATAGTCACTGACATGACAAACAGTTTCAAAAGTGCTGTAGAGTGGGTTGATTGTTTTATTGTTGGGTTTTGGTGTTTGGGGTTTTTTTGCAAGATCCCTACCTCTGTTGCATTATGCATAACTGCAGCTTAAATGCAATAACTACTCTACCTGCGATTTGAGCAGTTTTTCTTTTGCCCAGTCATGATACTGATTGCCATATTTAATGGACTTCAGCCTTACAGTTTGCTTTTGCAGCTATAAATTGGGCTTTCATCTGCACAGCAAGTTAAAGTTCAGAATTTAGCTTCTTGCTGCATTTGATGAGAGGCATCACAACTTGTTCAGCTCAAGTGAGGGATGAGCTTTGTCCATGTTACTGTAACTATTGAATAAAGCTAATCTTGAAGCATACAGGTGTGTGTAGTGATCACTGCTGAGAGCTACTCCAACAGTGCAGTTTAGTACCTTTACTTGGTTAACGACTATGCTCATTGAGACTATTTTGTGCAAACAATATCTGCTACATTAATATCTTGTTTGTTGCTATGTGTGAAACATTTTTTATGGTCTGCTGAAAGGTTCATGAACAGAACCTTAAGGATTGCATCAGTTTGAGCACCACATCACCATAGCAACAGGCTGCATATACCTTACAGGCTCATAAAAAGCATTTGTTTTGTGGCACATGCTAAATAATACAGCAGCATCCCATTATAATAAAGCAGTCTACTAAACTATCACACAAAGTCATTAAATTTTTAAATCATGAGCTTATAACTTGAGAAATTAGTTGTTTAATTTAGATTCAGTCTCATCTGTTGCTCATTTACTGATGTAGGCTTCTGAATTTAAGGGGGGAAAAAACAACAAAATTAACTACATCAATTTTGTACAATAAAGAGATTCATAAATAAGTATTGTTTCATCAGCACAGAATGAAAGAATATGAATATAGGTATATTAAAATCAAATAAATAATGTCCTAAGTTTGTAAAAAAATTAGGTCTGTTAAGATGCCTCTGTTCTGAAAGCCAGTTTTTCTCTTGAGTAAATATAAGAAACAAGGCCTTTCATTAGTCAGTATTTCTAATGTTCTACTATTTTTGCTGAAGCTAACCTCTTCCCCCACACCCAAAGCTTCCTTCAATCAAATAACCAAATATGAGTGCATTATGCTTTCTTACCTGCAGTCCACGAGCCATAATCTCACTTGAACTATCCTATCGGAGAATGAGTTGGTATTATTTGTCTTGCTCTATTTTCATCTTGCAGTCAGATCATGACCTGCTTCTAAAAGGTCAAAATTGTCATCCTTCCTACAGGAAGCATTACTTCCTTCTGCTAATGCCCTGACATCACAATCCCAGGTTCTTACTTGATGAGATTAAACAGAAATAAAATAGGCATGAGCCCTGCTGTAACCAATCAGAGTAAAGATATGGGGAACAAGGGAGATGCAAAAAGGAAGTTCATTAATCAATTAGTTGGAAGGTCTAGGTAGAATAGTATTTTTTTTAACTGAAACCACAAATCAGATATTTGGTTGTAGCAGGTGGTAATTCAGTAGTATATGTATAGAAGGTAATTTTATATACCAGTTTCTTACATAATGTTTGCACATCCATTGTTGTGATAAAGCCCACATCTTTTAAAAATTCTTGTGCTAACTTGCACCCAAAAAGTGAGTATTTGAATAAACAAAACCATATTGTTAAAAATGACTTGAAGCAGAGGTCTGCAGCTGTTGAGACATGGTGAACCCTGTCTGACATTCTTGCAGGTCGTCCTTTCATAAAATGAGGGGGTGATAGTTCCAGTAACATGCTTCACGTAATTTAAAATCAAATCGTGCTGACATTCACTGTAATCTGATTATTTTAGTGTACCAAACTGCACTATTATCTGGGATTAACATGAAAGTCTTAGATTTCTAAAAATTAATCCTACTAACAAAAAGAGCTAAAGCCAGCTTGCATACAACATGTTACAGAATGTTCTTACCAGATTGGGTACATTTTATTAATTCAACGAGTTCAGTGTTTTCTTGGGGAGAAGGCACATTAATGAAAGAAAATTTTTCTCATTTCTTTGTAGTCTTACAGATGCTCTTCAGGTCGTGTCTGATAACACTTGGGATAATGCAGAAATGTTCTTCCAAGTGGATTAATAGGCATATCCACAACTTTCAGTCATGTGTTAAATAGTAGTACTATTTGGGAAATATTAATGCCTTAAGGCTACCTGGGCCCTATTTTATGCACTTAGCAATACCCTCCTTCTATGAATTCCCTGTCATATTCCCTACCTTATAAATGCAAGCTCTCTATCTTGTGAAAAGCGTTGCTTTTCTAATTCCTAGTGTAAAGCACTCCTTTCTAGCTGGTAGTAAGTTATGTTCAAAAACCTGGAGAATTTCCTCAACAAAATCCTCCTTTGAAAGGAAACATTAACAAAAACCATACATGTAAACAGTGATGGCTATTGCTTGAGCAGAGATACTCTCCCTTCCTTATTCTCAGGTGCCAAAATGAAGGTAAACAGCAGCACTGCTCAGGAGCTCATGCAAACATACATTGCCTTTGTAAGTGTTTGTGGAGGAGTGAGAGAAAGAAAAGGGGAGGAATCCCAGACTAGTTTGTATGTTTCCCCTCTCCTGAGCTTTTCAGCCTAGTGTAATTTAGCTGTCCTGAAAGGAGGTTGGTGCTCTAGAGATCCCTGAGAGGATGATGCCATGATAGAATACTAAGTGCTGCAATATTGCTCATATTGATTGGCCATGTATCACACCTACAGCTTTATATGACTAGTTCTAGGATTTAAAGAATTTATTTTTTTCAAATTATTTGCAGGAAAAAAAGACACTTAAAGGCTTCACACTTGTTTGTTGACTCTCATGTAGTTTTCCACATTTAAACAGAATTTAGTGTAGTTTTGCTAAAATCAACAGTATGGGTGAGAGTACTTGTTTTAAACCTCTTTCTAATGAAGGGGTTAATTATTGGCACTATCTCAGTTTACAATTTCCAGCAGACTAACTGAGCACAGTTACTGAAATTACAGTGAAGAAATAAATCTTGTGTGCATATCTGATATGATCTGTAGCACGGAATTTAGCTCTACCCTTCTTTTAAATGCTCTGTTCTTCTCTATATTATGTAATTTTTTGGCATGCTTAATCTCTGTATAGGGAAACCTTGACTGCAGATCACACATACTAGGCAGACTTCTCTCTGAACAGGCCACCTTAAAATATTCTCAAGTGTAATATGTATTCTTTGGTTCTGTCTATTAGAAGAACACCTCTGTTATGTAAATTACTTTTATAAATCCCTGACGTCTTTGCTTGAGACAAGTTTGATTCCACGTTACTGACATTTTTATAAATTATACACTGGACCTTGCAAATCTCTGTGTCTCCTTTAGGCACACCATACTGTTTGATCTTATTTGAACCGGGCCCAGTTCTAAAGTCCTGTTTAATTCTGTTTCATAAAAGGATTGCAGAAAATCCTCCCCAGTGACTTTATTTCTGAGGTTTTGCTGCATTGGGAGTCTTGTCTGAGCTACAAATGAGCAGGGACTTTTTGACTAGAGTCCATGTTTAGAAAGAGCAAAAGAATTTCGTTCATAAGGGATGCATGCATATATATGCATGTATTATATAGTTATATTATTATTAAATTTTCTTAAGAAGTACTGATTTCTCTTTAGAGAAACTGACAAAAAAAGAGGCTGTTGTGACATTGCTTCGTGATGTGGGCATCTGTTCAGCTGGAATGAGATTCCTCTAATTGAACTGGGAAAATAAGTGTATTCTACTAAAATCCCCACAGATGGAAAATGTCAGACAGGCTACCATGTGGCCTCCAAAATTTTATTAAAGGATTAATGAGAAATAGTCAGGTCAACAGCCCATGTGGGGAAAAAAGTAGATTTTGGCACTCTGGGAGACTTGGAATAGAAAAGTTTAGTGTTGGGAAAAACATACACTTTCATTAAACTTTAAGCTGTTTCAAGAAGCCTCTGCTTACTCTATCTGAAACTCAGAAAACTACTTCCCAGATCATATTTGTTTGAATGAATTTAGGATTCTCAGTAAATTCCATAGAACCATAATACTAACCACATACCACTGTCACCTGGCAAGTACTTGAAAATCAAAATAAATGTGTTAGTGGTCTCAATTAGTGGGCTGAGATTTGCATTATGAGAGTTACTGGTACTATGAATGCTTTTAATGTTACATTCTGAAGAAAGAAAAGTTCACAGCTGAAAGTTCATGCTAAGACAGCCCTTTGTCAATGCTGAATAATGAAAATAGAATGTAACTAGTTGGCATCCTTATATGGTTTCTCAGTTGTAAATTATGTGATCATACTTCCATAGGAAAGAACAAAAAAGTTTAATTATTTGTTCCATATAGGAGCCCCAAGTGCATCTTTTTAAAGTTAAATGTTTTGAAGAAGCCAGTGCACCCAGCAAGTCAGCTATCAATCTATTGCCCTTCTCTAAATAGCAGGATACTGAAAGAGCCAGTAAGTGTATCCCCCACAAACAGACTGGAGATTAATTAGATCAGCACTGAGAGCTTGGTAAAATCAGCAGCCAGTCAATACAGAACAACACTGCTTTTGTCCTTGTATCTATTCCCTGAACTACTGAATCAATAATTAGTTTTTTCAGGACATGATTTTGCTGTTTACATGCCTAAGTTTGTTAAACAGTTTTACACTGTATTACAATTTGAAGTAACTGGTCTTGAGACTGCTGCAATAATTTTAAAGGTCCTCAGGAAACGTTGTATAGGCACTAATTAAGTCCTGTCAGGCATTTCCTTTTAATTATTTTAAATCGGAAAGCAAATACATGATATTGGAGGTACTGTACAACTGTTCCATTAGATTACTAAAACCTTACAAATAAGACATCAGAGAAAGTGTCCACTAGAGGGAAGCCTCCACCACACAAGACAATACTTGCCAAAGGGGAAGAAAAACCTACATTTTATGAAGAAAACTTTCTAGACTAAGAAACTCTGTGTTTGATTAATAAGTATACAGATATCTCACCGAAATGCAAATACAATCAGGTAATTTAAAATAGGCATCTTAAATATTTAGACCAGTTCTGAACTTGTGTAATTGTGGATTACAAGAAAACTGCTCTGATTTGCATCACTGAAGGCTTCACCCATGGGCTCCATGTTCCAAGTGGCTGATAAAGCCTTATATTAAAACTGAGCACTTGTATTCAGTGACTGATGTGTTATTAGGAAACCTGATTAATACACTTTGAAATGTCTTGACTTCAGTAATTTGGAACCCATCCTAAATCTGTTTTTCGTTTGGCACTTAAGTCTTAGATAAGACCAGCTGCCTAATTGGTTTGCTGAAAAGCCATTTGGAAAAACTACACTGGACATCCCGTGGTAAACAGTGCATGTTTACAATTAGAAATTAGAAACAATTTCACAATTTTAGTCTTTGTCATATATACTCCTGTAGATTATGTAGCTCTTTTACATAGAAAATCTCATGAGTATGAACCTTCATACTTTCCTTGGCTATTTTCTACCTGGTCTGAATATGAGATTATTATTATTTTACTGAAGCAGAAAAGTGATTTAAGTCTTGACCAATATTGGATATTTATAAATGTTGTGCTTGAAAAGGTCTTCTGATTTACAACTCCTCTAATACCCCCAACATCTGGCAAACACAGACTGATGGCAGAACTTGAAGGAAACACCCCTGTAAAAGGTGACTCAGATTTAAGTTTGACTAATTCTTGAAAATACTCTGACACCAATTCTTAAACAGACGAATGACAAGTTCTGCAGACTCAGACATTCTGATTGCTGACCTGGAAGAAGTGTATAATATTTATTAACAAAGCCTTTCTGGTCATGACATAAATGGTGGAGTGACTGTGTGAAGGAAACCTTTATATACCTTTTGCCACATTTGTTTTGTAGATAGGAAAAATGTTTCAGTCTCTTGGACTGTCCATATTAGAAAGTCATTTTGAGAGAGGATCTGGTTAAAACTAGGGCAGTAGAGCAGAGAGACAAGGAATCAGGACTTCTGGATTTTATTCACAACTCTGACACACAGTTTATTTGCTGTACGACCATGGCCAATTTATTTTCCTGACTGCTGCTGTTGTACCTCTGACCTTCCGATGTGCCTGCTTTTCACCCCTT